AGACAAGAAGACTCAACATTCCTGATGTTCGTGTCAGGAAGAAAAGAGCATGGTCGGTGGACGATGGCGGACTAGTGACCAAGAGAGTGTGTTCTGCGGCCAGCAGAGAACCCCGAGAGTGTTTGCTGAATGTTGTATTGCAAATGCATTCAAGTGCAGTTCAAGCGTGGAGAGCAGAGACAGAGCACCTTGTCATATCACACTCATGTCTTGAAGCTCTGATGCCCTGATTCGGCACAGCTATATATGAACAGGGTGCCGCTGTGGGCAGAGTGGTCAGACGAATAGTGGTTACCACGGAAGCATCACTGTCAGGCTGGGGAGCCCTTTGCGATGGCAGACCAGCATTTGGTACGTGGATGAGTGACTAGAATTGCCGGCATATAACTGCCTGGAAATGGAAGCTGTTCAATTAACACTGCAGGAATGTCTTCCGTTCGTTACAGACCGTCACGTTCTGATCCGAACAGAAAATACAGTGGTGGTGGCATATATCAATAACCAGGGAGGAGTGTGCTTACGTGCCCTGCAAAGCCTGGGACTGTGCCACTTCTTTTGATTCAAGTAGTGCATGTACCAGGCAATTTGAATTGCGGCACGGACAAGCTGAGGGAGGGCATTATACACAGAGAGTGGAGACTACATCCTCAAACAGTGAAGATGATCTGGAGCCTCTTTGGTGAAGCGGTTAAGCAGCACTTTGCATCAGAAGAGAATGCCCACTGCCCGTTATTCTTCTTGCTAACGTCTGCCCTCTTAGAAGGGGAGAAGGGGACGAGCCACTGGCCCAGGAGTCGGAAATATGCATTCCCTCCGGTCAAAATTATGCCGCTAGTGCTGAAAAAGATCAGGGAGAATCGAAATAGCCCAACCAGCCGTGGTTCCTGGAATTGGTAAACCTATCGTCTAGATGCGGTCAACTCTCCCTCTACGCTAAAAGTCTATGTGGCTGCTATTGCTGCCTCTCATGACGTGGTTGAAGGTCACTCAGTGGGTAAACACCCCCTAATAACGAGCTTTCTTCAGAGCGTGAGGTGGCTGAATCCC